TTTTTTTTTTTTTTTTTTTTTTTTTTGCGTGCTTCTTTCCTTATCTCAGTGTGGACTTTGTTGAAAACGAGGTCTTAAAAGGGACGTATATATTTGTTCTTTGAGGTTACACAAGTACAAAATTCACTTACTATGTAGTCTGTACATTGAAATACTCATCAGTATTTTGCTATATTCATGTACGAAGCTAAGAATTTATGCACACAGTGATCATAATCAACATTGAAAGCCCATACACACATCAAATAAGCACAAAGCCACCAAAATACACAACATGACCAGTCTAACAAACCGGGTAAAAAATTGTCACACCCCAGTAATGCTCAAATCAGTCGCACCCAATTATCAGTGAAGCCGAAATCATGAAACCAGAACGAGAACTCACGATGGAGGGAGAGCGTCTGGCTGAGGGACACGGTGTCAAAGCACCGGACGACACCCACTAAGGACACCATCCATGGGACCACCTTTTGGTTTTCGACACTCGGGGAACCACCGGGGAAACTCCCCGTCGGGCCCCATAGAAGGCAGCCCTAATTTCGAAAAAACCTCGAATGCTCTGCGTTAGGCAGTGTATTCATGTAGTAAGCCCACGACATGGAGCTCCCGCCGAGGATGCTCCCAAATGAGCTGGGGAACGTTGCCGTACTGCCGCCGCTTGATGTTCTGTAGAGTTCTTCACTGAACTTCTTTATAATAATAAAAATCTCAAGTTTATTCCACTGTCAATAAATAACAACAATTTACACAGAAGTTACGCAATATTCACCGCAAATCACGACAAAAAACTATGATTTAAACAAAACTCACATCAAATTAACTATAATCCATTTGAGCTTCCAAATTTTGAACAGTCTCAAAAGGAAATGCATCAACTCATTAGAAATCAGACCTTGAACTTCACAAAATCTTTGCTCCTCTTCATTATCACCGAACGTGCATCTTTCCTCCTTAAATTTGATCTTTAGGGTTTGCTTAGCCTTCGAACGCATCAAATTAGTATCACCGTTATTGGACAAATCAAACGTGCAAAGAAAGGAAACATTTAAG